ATTTCATTGGTTAATTTCTTAAAATTAAGAAATACTTAAAAGATACCGCTAAATTTAGAGAATTAATTAACCAACTCCAAGCTTTAAAGTTTAGGAAATTACAAAAATAGTACAGAGACATCCTCCTCTATAACCTGTACTCAAGCTTTCCTCCATTCACTTGTTCTTTTTTAAATTTGTTTTGTTAATCCTCATCCAAGGATATTTTTTCCATTTATTTTTAGAGAGAATGGAAGGGAGACGGAAAGAGAGAGGAACATTGATGTGAGATACACACATCAAGTAGTTTCCTCCATGTCCTGGCTGGGTACATGCCCTTTACCAGAATTGAATCCGAGATCCTTCAATTGGAGGACGGACAATCTAACCACTGAGCAATATTGGCTAGGACCACCTGCTCATTTTAACAAATGTCCTGAAGTAGTGCAAATGCTAATGTTTGGGATGGGTTGTGGAACTATACAGGTAGTGTCGGTTTGTATTCTGTACATCTGCATGGTGCAAATCTGGAGTTTTGATTTTCATAGGAGCCTCTCTCCCCACACTGGGAGCAGGGCAGATGGCAAGCTGCCTTGCTGCTTCTCAGGGCATATGGGTAGAGTTTCCTTTTCACCTATTGAGCAGACCTTTTGAGGATTTTGGCTCAAAATAGGGGTTTTACTTCCAGCTTTCCCTGAAATAGGCTCAAAATTAGGTTGTTGTTTTTTTTTTTACCTCTTTTGGCCATTGTCCCCTGAGACTACATTGGCGATAGCTGGGACTTTAGGTCTTTGAGTTTATTCTTTTCTGGCACCTAGAAATCCTCCCCTCCCCCCTTTTTAAAAATCTTTTATGGAGGATATATTTATTGATTTTACAGAGGAAAGGAGGGAGGGAGAGAGAGACTGAGAAACAGAAACATGGATTGGTTGCCTCCTGTTTGTGCCTCAATCAGGGATGAATGTGCAAACTTTTGGTGTATGGAGACAACACTCCAACCAAGCCACCTGTCCAGAGCTCCCCTTTTGAAATTCAGCTGTACTAATTTCTCATGCTGATTTAGCATCTTAGTGAATTATTTGGGCACATGTATATAAGAGTCCAGTCTGCCTTATTGCTTGAATCAAAAGTCTAATAAATGCTTTCTTAATTTCTTACTTCTTAATTTTATTTTCTACAAAAAGGATTTGAAGTCAGATTACATTACTCTCATTAAAAATATTATTTAGCCCTTGCTGGGTGGTTCAGTTCGTTGGAGCATCATCCTGTATATCAAAAGGTTGCAGGTTGATTACCAGGCAGGGTGTGTATAGGAGGCAAATGATATCTCTCTCTCTCTCTCTCTCTCTCTCTCCCTCCCTCCCTTCCTCTCTCTTCACCCCACACTCCTCCTTCCTCTTTTTCTAGATTCAATAATAATAGTAAAAACATACCCTTGGGTGAGGATTAAAAAAAAAAAAAAATATATATATATATATATATATATATATATATATATATATACATTATTTATCTTTTAAATAGATGATACATGAATGTTGTATGAAGTTGGAAAGATAAAAAAGGATATAAAGGTCTCCCTTTGCCCTGTTCCATACTTCATGCATTTTGCCTTCACAGGTACACTAGATACTAGTCTCTTACATATCCTAGAGATATACTGTGCGCTAGTTTTTGTTGTTGTTTTTTAATATATTTTTATTTATTTATGGAGGGAGAGCAAGGGAGAGGGAGATAGAAACATCAATGAGAGAGAAATGTTGATCAGCTGCCTCCTGAATGCCCCCTGCTGGGGATGGAGCTCGTACCTGGGTATGTATCCTGACCAGAATTGAACCAGCAACCTCTTTGTGCATGGATCAATGCTCAACCACTGAGCAACACTTGAGGGACACTTTAAAGTATTGTGTATAATTTAATTTTGTAACCAGTGTTCAGGATTTTTTTTTATCTGCTTAACAAATAGCAATTGTATTGTAGTTTTTTCTTTCCTGGGAGCTTTTGAGAGAGAATGCTAACCCTAATTATATGTTACATGTATGTTTTTATGTATATGAATGGATTATTTGTGTTTTAATTTTTGTTCACTTCAAAAATCCCTCAGAATCTGACAAAATAGTGTACATTGTTGGTTTGAATGTTTTAAGTTATGTGGACTATTAAAATAATGGGACATTAACCTTACTTTTTGGGAGGTAGTAAAAAATGATATTTTAAAATACTGGAATTGAAACACATGGAGGATAGCTTTCAAAATTGTTCTAATTGCTAACCAGTAAATGCTATTGTTTGCATAAGTGCAGAAAATTGCCCAAAGAAGTGAGGGGTCTGTCAAAGTTGAAGTCCTCCTTTTTAGGTTCCTTAGCCACTGTATATACTATTGATTGCCCAAGTCAGCGTGGTGAAATTCAGTGTCATGGAAGCCTATGATCTAATATGTTTTCTTCCTTAGATCAACCTCTCCACTTCTCCTACACCTGCACAGTTAATAAGCCGTTCCCAGGCTTCCAGTTCTACCAGCGGCAGTATTACCCAACAGACTATGTTACTAGGGAGTACCTCCCCTACCCTAACTGCAAGCCAAGCTCAAATGTATCTCCGAGCTCAAATGGTAAGATGTGAGCTACCAAATTTTTTTTAGCATTTAAGGACTTGAGAGAGATCAAAATATTTCTTGATTTGATGCAATAAGGACATTTTAAATATTTAAGATATGTTTAACAAATTTTTATGTGCGTGTGCTCAGCTCTTATACATTTATGTCATGAAAAATTCTTTTAATTGGTAGGCCTTCTTGGTGTTTCAAATAGTAACATGCGAAGCTGACAAATCTGTAACAGAGAAATGATTATTTTTTTAATATCAGATTTCATTGATTTCAAACCTTTCACATTTTAACATCTGAAACTGAGATGCATTTTATAATTGATAGCATCGTACATTTATACCGTATTTTTCGGACCATAAGACGCTCCGGACCATAAGACGCACCAGTTTTTAGAGAAGGGAAATGAAGAAAAAAAGATTCTGAAACAAATAGTGTCCTAAAATATTTTATGTGCATTAAAACCCAACATCACAGTCATAAACACATGTAATCAACCCTGTAAAGTAAACAGCAGCATTTAGAACCATTTTAGAGCCAGGCAAGCACACAGAGACCACACAGAGCTGGGCAAGTAAAAAAACTTTTTTTTAAAAGTATATGTGTAGGCTATATTTGGACCATAAGACGCAGGGACTTTTTCCCCCCACTTCTGGGGGGGAAAAAGTGCGTCTTATGGTCCGAAAAATACGGTAATTGTACCTATAGTGATACATAAAATCATTGTATATCATTGACATCTTAGATTTGAAGAAGATTTAATGAAAATGTTAAAAATGTTATAAACTTGGTTGTTAACTATAAGTTAGAATTTATATTGTGACATCTTCTGAAATCAGGATTGAAGTTTTGGTAATTTACCAAATGATTCTGAGCTTTGGTTATTCCCATCTCCAATTTTGCAAGGTAATCTGTGTTCTTAAGCTCACTCTGATCTTTTATTAATAACAGGAAGGTTAATTTGGCTATTCTGACTTCTTGATTTAACTGTTGAGCTTCTTTAAGAAATGCAGAAATTGGCTGACATTTATTTTATTTGATGTCTTTGTATGTAGTTAAATAAAAACTTTGGCCCTAGCATATATTTATTTACTTTCCTTTTTTTGTCCAGGGAACTGAATATATATCTGGATTCCCAGGTCTGCACTAAAATTGCAAAGAAAGTTCCCCATCATATTTCTAATAGGAAACAATGATATGACCCATCTACAGATTGTTCAGTAGGCATTGCCATTTTCCCGCCATGAGCTCTTATTTAATTAATAATATGCTTCAGAATTAAGCTGCATGAACCATTTGAAATGGTTGTAATTTGACTGTTTTTGACCCCTTGGAAGTTTCACATGGTTCAAGTTAAATAGAACATCATCTCTTTAGGTTTAGTGCTTTCAGTTGTTTGTCCTGGAAATTAACTTCTTGTGAATGTTATGTTTTTTTGATTAATTCACTTAAATTTACCAATAATATACTATAAAGAACTGAAATATAACAGATTCCTTAATTGATAATTTTAATTTAAACAGGAATGGTTTTTGAGGAACTGAATAACTCGATGCAAATTTGAAATAGAGTATTTTACACATTCGTGGAAATAGCTGTTATAATTTATTAAGTTGGATTGAATAATCTCTGAATGTATTGTATTACTTTTTTAAATTAATAGCATTCTGTTTCAGTATTGAAAAAAACATTTGAAAAGAGATGGTGATTATTAGTAAATAAATCAAGTATGTCTTTTCTTCATTATTTTTTATGTAAAGCTGTTTTTGCAAACTGTTACTGAATTTTGACATGTTCTAGTATTTACATTTAGAATGAGTTTTTCTTTACAGATTTTTTTTTAAATCAAGAGCAACCTAGATTTGTACTATAGATCCTATATAGCTGAGTGAAATATTATAGTGTATTATATAGCATAGTTAGCTTTTATAGTCAAGAGGATTGAAAAGACTTTTGGGGGTTTCTTTATGTCTTTCTTTAATTTGCATTCAAGAGTAGTGACTATGGTTGTTTATTGTAATCTAAGTTTTTGGGATCCTACCATTGTAGTTTTTAGTTGGGAGAAATTTAAGTATAATAGCTTATTCAGGGCAAAATTTGGTATGAGGATTTCATATTACCAAATTACATATTCCTTTTTGAACACTGATTTATTTTTCTACTCACCAGAATCATGAACTGTTTCAAAAATGTTTATGATTTTTTTTTTAGTTCTCTATATCAGAAACTTCTCTTTGTCACGTAAAACCTTTTTTTGCTTAAGAAGAAATCCTAAATTGCATTGTCTTTCTGTCATGAATTTCAGTCTCCCTTGCCTGCTATACATTGTGTGTGAGACATGTTCTTTTTGTCTTAGAGTATTTTTTTGTTTTGGTTTTTCTGTCTGTACAGCTGATTTTCACACCCGCTACCACTGTGGCTGCTGTACAGTCTGACATTCCTGTTGTCTCGTCGTCATCGTCATCTTCCTGTCAGTCTGCAGCTACTCAGGTGAGCTTGTCTAGCTTCATAACGTGGTACTTGAGGTCTGGATCTTCAGTTAAAGATAAACATACCTTGTAGTTTAAGTTACTGATTATTTTAGTGCTCTTTGTCATACATTTCAGATTGAAATTTAATATAACACTATAAGAACTTCAAGAAAGTTGTTTTTTCTTCTATAGAAATTATAATACCATTAAATATGGATATTTAGGTTATTTGACATAAATGAAAATAAGTTTTCGATATGACATTGTGTTTAGTTCTATTGTATAGTAGATTTATTTTTTGTTATGTGAGTTGCATTCTTTTGTGTAGATTTCTTTGCAAGCAGCTATATAATAACTAAGTCAAGATGGATTTTAATATTAAAAATGAATTAAATTGGGTACATTTTAAATTAAAAAAATGGAATAGAATATTACTTTGTTTAGTACTATGGAAAAAGTGAGCCTTCACTTTTTCTCATGTAAATTACAAAAATAAATATTAGAATATAGACCTAAAGGTAACAGCTGAAAGTATAAAACCTGTAGATGATGATACAGGAAATATCTTAATAACTAGGGTGGAGAAAGCTTTCTTCAGTCACAAAAAGCACTAATCATAAAAGAAAATAGAGTTTATCAAAATTAAAAATTGTTCTCAAAAAACATTGTTACAAAAGTGAAGAAGCAAGTCACAGACTAAGGGAAAATGTTCACAATACATATATCTGACAAAGGACTTGTATTCAGAAAATGCAAAGTATGTTTTCAAGTAGTAATAATATGAGCAGTTCAGCCAAAACCGGTTTGGCTCAGTGGATAAAGCATCGGCCTGCGGACTGAAGGGTCCCAGGTTCGATTCTGGTCAAGGGCATGTACCTTGGTTGCGGGCACATCCCCAGTGGGTGGTGTGCAGGAGGTAGCTGACTGATGTTTCTCTCCCATCGATGTTTCTAGCTCTCTATCCCCTCTCCCTTCCTCTCTGTAAAAAATCAAGAAAATATATTTTTTAAAAAAATATGAGCAGTTCAATTAAAATTGGGGGAAAGATTTGAACACTTCACAAAAGGTTGACAAGCACGTGAAAAAAAATGCTCAACATCATTAATCATTATAGAAATGCAAATCACAATCACATTCGCTAGAATGGCTGAAATGAAGGAGACTGATTCTGGAGAATGTAGAGCAGCTATATTGTCAAAACATTGCTGGTGATAATCTAAAGTGGTATAACCACTTTGGAAAACAGTTTGTCATTTCATTATAAAGTTAAACATATGCTTACCATGTGACCCAGCAATTGTACTTCTAGATGTTTACTGTGAGAGATTTGAAAACATATCTCCACAGAAAGATATGTAAACAAATGTTCATAGCAGCTCTATTCAGCCCCAAACTGGAAATAACCAATGTTCTTTAACTGGTGAATGTATAAACAAATTGTGGAATATTACTTGGAAATTTAAAATTATGAAAACAAAAAACAATGCACTTCAGATACATTATCATTTGCCCGGCTGGCCAGTGTGGCTCCATGGTTAAGCGTGAACCTGTGAACCAGGAGGTCACAGTTCAATTCTCAGGGCACGTGCCCAGGTTGTGGGCACAATTCCCAGTAGGAAGTATGCAGGAGGCAGCTGATCCATGATTCTCTCTCATCATTAATGTCTCTCTCTCTCTTTCTCTCTCTCTCCTTTCCTTTCTCTGAAATCAATAAAAAAACATTGAAAAAGTAATATTATATTCACAAAAGAGGCCAGACTCTACAGTGTCCATACTTTGATTAATTTATATGAAATTCCAGAACAGGCAAAACTAATCTATAGTGAAAGAAATTGGATTGGTGGTACAAGGGGCAGAAGGTAGGGGAGATTGATGTGGAAGGGGCATGAGAGAAATTTCTGGGTGATGGGAATGTTCTATATCTTGATTGGAGTGGTGGTGATATGTCGTATACATATGTCAAAATTCACTGAATTGGTTCATTCATTTTGTTGAATGTAAGTTACCCCTCAGTAAAGTTGGTAAAAATGTAAATTTTAAATTAAAACAATTGAGTAAAATATTACTTTTTCCATAGAAACTAGTATATCTTAGGATCATTCTTGCCTTATTACTTTTAATTTAATAGTTTCAGTATTCTGGTAAAAAGCAAAAAATAAGATAGTAATAATATTCTTTGTTACTTTTCATAGATCTCTTTACATTATATTTTATTTAATAATAAGAGCCAGTTTTAATATATTAATATATAAAGATGCTGACCAATTAAATTTAAGTTTTTCTTAACAGCTGTGTGATCCTCCACAATTCCTGAACTTTGTTGGACTTTAGTTTCCATGTTTACAAAATGAGGCCTTTGTTTTTGTTAACTTTAAGATTTTTTTCAGCTCTAAACTTTTTTTTATAAATGTCTTTTCATGAGATAGATTTGTTGAAGTAATGATTTTGCTGTTTGGTTTTTAAATATATTTTTATTGATTTCAGAGAGGAAGGAAGAAGGAGAGAGGTAGAAATATCAGTGATGAGAGAGAATCATTAATCAGCTGCCTCCTACACGCCCCCCTACTGGGGATTGAACCAGCAACCTGGGGCATGTGTCCTAACCAAGAATCAAACTGTGACCTCCTGGTTCATAGGTTGAGGCTCAACCACATAGCCACACTAGCTTGGCTGTTTTTTATTTTTTTAAAACTTTTTATTTATAAAAAAACCTAATAGAGCTAGAGCATTATCAACTTCCAGAATATTTTCTGTTTTATTTATATTTTGTTCCAACTGAAATTTTAATTGACTTATAAGATGTACACAATAAAACAAGATAAAATAAATGTAAAGCCTGCCAGGAAAAAGGAAAGTGGCACGGAGGTAGGAGTAAGGAGGCTATTCAGGTTATATGCATGGACTCAATTTCAACTCCCACTTCAGTTACTTAATAGTTGTGTGGCTTTAGACAAGTTACCAAACATCTCTAATAGTCATACATACTTCCAGGGTGGGTTGAAGAATGAGTAATATGTACATTTAGTGTCTAGAACATTATGGGCACTTGTTAGTACCTTTTTTTGCAAGTGGGGGAACAGGAAGACCTGGGTTCAAATTCTGACTTCAGCAACAGTTGCCAGCTTTGTCACTTGCTAGTTGATTGATTTTGGACAAGGTCTTAGTATAGCACAGTGTATGTTTGGACTTTGACGCTAGATTCTCTGGGTTCAAATGCTCTACCATTTATTGGATATCCTTAATTTCTTGCTTCAGCTCCAACAATATAAAATAAAATAAATACTTACAAAGTAATTATACTGCTTATTTTATAGTTTTGTAGTGAGGATTAAATATGTTAATAAGTGAAAAACAGAACAATGTTTCATACATAGTTAGCACTTACTAAACAGCTTTTATTATTACCTTTTCAAGGTCTCAGTTTCTTCATTGTAAACTAGAAATGATAGCTCAGAGTTGTTATAAAAATACATGAGACAATAATTATAAAGTACTTAGTATTCTGCCTGGCATGTTAGATATCACATGCCACTAATTACTATTTTCGTTACATATTGTCTAAAGACGAGTCACAAATTTGGTACTTAGCTTTGAAGTGAAAAGAGAAACACAACCTTCTAAAAAATTTACAGTTTCCAAGGTAAATAAATGAGTTAGGAAAATATTACTAACATGCTCTAAAGCACAATCTGTCTTGTGTGTTCTCATAGAGAAAACATATTACAGTGTCTTTAATGGTATAATGAACATAGTAATTTACAGAAGTGGCTTCAGCTTGATGTGACACAGGTATGAGGCTTTGTGATAATATGACTTAATTAAAAGGTAGACTTTGAGGAGCCTTTAGAAATTTCTCTGCAAATGTTTTTCTCTTCTGTGCTTTTGAAATGTCAGTGAGGGAGTGGTAAGTGATGCTAATACTTTGAGTATTTCAGTGGTAACTTTTCTCAAGTTCAGGGTTCTTAGTTTTGAAAAATTTGTGCTTCACTTTGTTAATTTAAAGCTTATATTTTCACTTTTTAAAATAATTAGTGTGTAATTGAGAACTACCAAATTTGAAGTTTTATTTTAGTACTCTTTTTAAGTGATAGAAGTCAGCATAGTTCATTTTTCCTTATTATTAAAATTTATTTATAGAATACTAAGGGGGGAAAAAGAAATTCAGAGTATTTTACTCTTATTTACCATTTTAAATGTTCTATCCCTTCTCCCCACTATTTTTTTCAGAAAATTTTTTTCAGGAAGGTGTCATAGAACTAAAAATATGTTTGTAGAAAAGTAAGAAATCTTGCTTACCATGGCTATCTGGGGAATGCTGTGAGAATTGAGAAAAAAACTGTCTTTTGGATTTAAAATCTAGAAACCCAGCTCTGTAGCCGCCATTGAGATATTAACTCTTAGTTTTCTCATCTGCAAGGAAGGGATGCTGCTGTAATTCACAGAATATTTCTTAGATTCAAATAGAACAATTGGTGTGAGAGTATTTGGTAATCCACTATAAAAATCTAAGGTGTGAAATTAGCAAAAATACTTCACAGGAAATTTAGAATTTTTCAAAAGTCAGAAAAGTTTCCATAATTTGATCATAGTTTTTGTTTAGATAAAATAAAAGTTGGACTTCAGACTACACTGATATTCTTTATTTAGAAAGGGTGTGTTTTCTGCAAAAGTGAAGCTCTGTCAAGGAAATCTGAATATGTGATCTTCCTATTAGTAGCTAATTTAACTTTGTAATATAATTTAAAAGTATAGTTTAACATTTGAAATGTAATATTTAAGCCAAAATGACCACAGATAGGTATAGCAATAGTCTAAAATTTATCTATTTATATAAATAGTATATAAATAATAAAGAGGGAATATGCTAATTGACTGCCATGCCCTCAAAGATGGCGGTGCCCACAGCCACAAGATGGTGGCGCCTAGTCCACTCACCCCCACCAGGCATGCGTCAAGGCCAGGCCTGCCTTCGGAGTCCCCAGTCTCCTCAGCCCCCCAGCCGCCCAGAGCTGGCTGAGGCGTAGGCAAGCCTCAGATGGCGCCTGCCCAGCTGCCCAGGGCTGCCTGAGGCTCAGGAAACCAGGGCTGGCCGAGGCTCGTGCTGCCGTCAGTGGCAGCAGCAGAGGTGTGATGGGGCGTTGCCTTTCCCTGATTGCCAGGTCGCCTCCTGCACCTGAAGGCTCCCGGACTGTGAGAGGGGCCAGGCAGGGCTAAGGGACCCCCCTTTCCAGTGCATGAATTTTCATGCACTGGGTCTCTAGTAATATATAATATATAAAATGCACATTTTATTTTTTGCATTGAATTTCAGTATTCCAGAAAACAAAAGTTAGAAGAAAAGAGTGTATTATTTTATAGAAATGGACTGCATCAGGTTTTAGGGTTCATTGAGTCAAATCTTCATTTACATTGTAAATATATATACTTTTCATTTGAAGGAAATTTTTTCAAATTTTCAAATTTTTAAAATAAATATCACTAGATATTTGTTGAGATTTTTTTTAAAAGTAAAATATGAACAGGTTTTAATGTTAGCCTAAGAAAACCATGAATAGACTAAAAGGAAAAAAAATATAATATATATGAAATATATATGTGTAATATATATTTCAGAATCAGATAGAGAAAAATACCTCTGACTTGTGGAGCTTCTGTCGTTTGCAATACAGAACTGTGGGAGTACAAACATGAATGTCAGAGATGGGAGCCTGCCAATCAGAGCCTCCATATTTCACAGACACAGACATGAGTAATTCTAAAATAAGCTAGACATTAGGCAGTGCTGTAGGCCAATATGACCCAAATTCCATGAGAAAAGCATTAGATAGGAAAGGAGAAATTATTTCTAATCAGGGGATTTAGGGAGGATTCTTTGGGATTTTTACTGGGCCTTGAAGAAGCGTTGAGGAAGAATGGCATTTGAGGTAAGAGGAGCTTGAGCAAGGATGGTAAATGAGCAAGGTAGTTTGGGAAAGGGCAAATAGAACAGTATGGCTAGAATATGAGAATGATGGACTGGAATAGTGGAGAATGTGGCTTGAAGTGATTTGGGCCTTGACTTTGAGAAACCTGGATTTTAGCACATTTTATTTTTTGCATTACATTTTAATAATAAAGTAGTTTTAGTCCACTTATATTGCTGTGAAATATTTGACAAAAATCAGAGAAGATATAGTCTCACTTAGAAGATTATTTCAATAGCTTAGAATAGAACTGATGGAAACCTCAACTGCCCCAAAACATTTTTTTAGCACTTGCTATTGGCTTATCACTGCATTTGGCACCTGGATCTAAGATAATGTATAGCCTTTGAGCATCAGTTAATAATATAGTTGTAGAGACTGAACACACATGAAACAGGAATATTTATGAAACGCAATATATCATTTGCTTTGTCACTTTATAATCTCTTTACTTCAGTTTCCTTTCCAGAGCTAGTGCTAGCATAAATGTATTTGGTGCATTCATTCCAGATAAACAAAAACTTGGGCAGCTATTGGAGAGGCATATTCTGCCTGGCTATTTAGAAATGTTATAAACTTCATGTGACTGTAATTGGATTATCCTTGCCAGCATGCAGACTGGCAGTATGTTTCGAATAACACTGGGTATAGATAAGAGCTGTCACAGAAACCATTTCAAGGCCATACACAATCTTTTCAATTCATGAAATCTGGTTCTCAAAGGCAATTGAGTGTTCCATACAATAGCAACAGCATATAACAAACATCTTTAAAAAGGAGTTAGTGGGAAATGATTTTCATAATGACCATAGTGGGGTAGATAATTTGATGAATTCATTTTCTTACTAGTACAAGATTAGCATTCCCTTATAATCTCAGTTGAGCTGATAACTTTTTTGTTATCTTTCTTATACTTATTAAGACCGAAGTATTGTATCCACACTCTCTAATTATGTAAGTTTATGAGATACTTGTAACCTTAAAATGTCAGTCCTGGCATGGTACAGGTCTGAGATTGAAGGAATTGCTCATTGTTCCCTGCACACCTTGGGCTCCCCACCTCTGCATCTTTGCTCAAGTATTCCCTTTTACTTGGAATGACCTTTCTCAAAAATGCAGTATGTTGCAGAGTAATTTACTCTTAGTTCAAAATTTATATATATATATATATATATATATATATATATATATATATTCAATTTTTATCGAATTCTTAATGATTCTTTCCCTTAATGTCTTTTTAAAAAATTCACTTAATACTTAGGATTTGATTACTTAGAATAATAACTCCCCTTTCTTACAGGATTAATCAGTAGTTTTAAGTGCTTGGAGCTTTATGAAAAGCATAATATAAATATATTGTCATTATTGCTATAATGTAACGATTACCACATGAATTAATACTATCTGTTTCATCCATATTTTTTGTTATGTGGTTCTTTAGGTTCAGAATTTAACATTACGCAGCCAGAAGTTGGGTGTGTTATCTAGCTCACAGAATGGTCCACCGAAAAGCACTGGCCAAACTCAGTCATTGACAATTTGTCATAACAAAACAACAGTAACCAGTTCTAAAATCAGCCAACGAGATCCTTCTCCAGAAAGTGTTAGAAAAGGAGAAAGTCCAAGTCTGGAATCACGAAGCACAGCTGTCACCCGGACGTCAAGTATTCACCAGTTAATAGCACCAGGTGGGATAAAACTTTTGTTGAAAATAGTTGCATTTTCTTAGCAGGCAGAGAAAAACAAAAGATGTCCATTACTTGAATAAAAATGATAATTTTGAAGCATTTTATAATGTGAATTTCATAAGTAAAAAGAAAAACACATTTCAATATTGTAGCTTGAAAAAAGAGAAATCCAAAGAGCCCAGTAGCTAAAACAAATTATAATAATAAAATGGATTTTGGGGAGTGAGTTGACATTTGATTAACATCTTCATTATGTGCTAGTTTCCTACTATAAAATAAAACCTTTTAGCTTTAGAAACAAAATTTGTGTGTAGTTCATTTAATATGCTTTAGTGAAACAAAATTAAAAGCCTTTAAAAAAAAGTATTATTTTTGTTTAAAATTGTCATTAGTGGGAGGAATTTATCACTTTCCAAAAATAAGATTATACACAATTATTTTCTTTACCACGTTGCTTTTTTCCATCTTGGTTTTCATCTTTAAGAGGAAGATGTCAGGGAGTCAACTAAGTTATTTTCATTCTCATCAAACTTTTAATCTCATGTACACTCCTGCTATCTACAGATAATGTTGCTTTATGGTTCTCATGCTGAAAATGTTGGGGCCATCTCGAGTGAGTTTTCTTACCATCTCTTCTACTCATCTCAGAATTTGTCAATTTTGAGCTTTCTTCACTTCTAATTAGATAAGGAATTATCTGCTTTCCTTTTTAAGTTAGCACTATTTGCGTCATTGATTGCATCGTTTTTACCTTCTGTCATAGTTATTATTGCATCTTTTGCCTTTCTCATGTTGGATATTTTTCCTTTACTTCTCCAGCATACTTAGGTTTCCCTAACCTTAATATATATGCATATGTTTTTATACCAGTATAATTATTATTTATTGAAAATGTGTATGTGTGTGTGTGTGAGAGAGAGAGAGAGAGAGAAACAGAGAGAGATACCTACTGGGTTAGACACCTACATATGTTTTATTTTTTAAAAAATTCTTTTATCCAACCTCATCAGGCAAGCAACTTCTTTCTAATCTTTTATAACTGCGTTGCTTTCTAAAGATTTATTTTACACTACTGAAGTCTGCATATACTCCATCTAAACCAATTTCTCTTTATAAGTTTCCTCTGTGTCATGTTCTTTAAATCACCTAATCTCAAACTGTTAGAATTATTTGATTCATTTTGTTAGAAATCTCTCATTACTTTGAATTTGTATAGCATTGTTATGCCTTTTTTATGGCACTTTTTCTTTTATAATAGGTGGTAAGCCCTTTGAAGGTAGGATAATAATATTGAGCATTTGTGTATCAGGCACTTTGCATTTATTGTTTCTTTTAATCCTTTTTGCAGATTGACCTTTTTATCCTTTTATCTTATACTAGAGGCCCAGTGCACAAAATTCGTGCATGGGGGGGTGCCCCTCAGCCTGGCATGCATCCCTCTCACAATCCAGGACCACTGGCTCCTAACCCCTCACCTGCCTGCCTGCCTGATTGCCCCTAACTACTCTGTCTGCCGGTCTTATTGCCCCTAACTGCTCCCCTGCTGGCTTGATCTCTCCTAACCACCTCTGCCTTGGTCCTGCACCTGCAACCCAGGATTCCCTCCTCCAGCCTGTTGCAAACACCCGGGACTCAGGCTTCCCTCCCTCTGGCCGGCCACAGGCACCAGGTCCTAGGCCGGCTTTGCTTGGGCTGGCTGCAGCTGCAGGGGACGGTGTGCAGGTGACTTTGCTTGGGCTACAGGAACTGGTACCCGGGACCGAGGGACAGGCAGCGGGCAGCTTCTCCATCTCCCAGGCCCCAGCCAGACTCAGGCACTGGCCCCCAAACTGCGGGCGGGCGGGTTCTCCGTTTCTCCTGGGACCACGGGACAGGTGGCTTTTCCAGCTGGCTGGGGCCCGGGACCACAGGGCAGGCAGCTGCTTCGTCTACCCGGCCACAGCCGGCCACAGGCAGCTTCACCCAGCTGGCTTTGTCAGGAAGGACGTCCGGATGGTTGTCCGGAAGGTCTCCCAGTCTAATTAGCATGCTGTTCTTTTATTAGTAAAATTGTCCAGAGATTCTCAGCTTCAAACCAGCCTATCTGGCCAGTGTTGATAAAAGTCAGTGAGGAGCAGCAGTGACCCACTGTACTTGGAATGACTGCTTAGGACAATTTCTAGTAATTCCCACAGTTTTGATAGATTATACTGGAAGGTAGGATAATTCCCTCCCAGAGAGACTGTTACCTTCAGAGAAAGCTAAGAACTTTTTCAGGGTTAGTTCAAGCAGGGAGTTCTACTTTTAGATTTTCCGTCTCCCTGAACTCCCAGTACCTGTTTCTTTGTTACACTTATTCTTCCCCCTTTCACTGGTAGTGCAATAATATCCTTGTAGTTGTCTTCCTCTGATGGCCAATATTTTAAGTTGGTGTGGAGGATACCGGTAAGCAAAAACCGTCAGAGTCTCAGGAGAATTGCAATTCCAAATTCAAATGCTATGTGTATTTACCTAGTATTCTATGATGGTGTCGATTAGAAACAAAACCAAATGGAACATCCTAACGCATATAAACTTTTGTAGCTACCAAATTATAAGTTTGTTAAAATTTATTCAAGCCTTACACTGTGGTTATTCAAAGCAATTTATATTTTCTGATGAAAGCAGTATTTTCCAGCTTTTTAGTTTTCCTACTCTGCTGGTGGGAAGTTAGTCTGAAGCTAAGCTTTATTTTGGGAGATTCTTGGATAGGTAATTTATCCTTTTTCCTCAATTAGTAAAATGTTTGTTCCTACAGGTAACTTACAAATGCTAAAAGAATCTGTGTTCCAGTGTAGTATAGTTTTATAACTATTATAATGGACAAGGTTATTGCTTCCTTGTATGTATTTTTAGGGTGCTAAATTTGTTTTGTTTTTTTCATTTCTTCTTGAAGGGGGAGTTGCCACTTGATAGTTAATAATTCTATTTTTATTATATAAAATAAGGCAAATGTCTGGAAATTAACCTTAATATTAGAGCTCAAGTGTTTTTAGAACTTTTAT